TTCAAAATTGGCTTTCGACTTCAAACTTTGCACAAATAAAGTTCTCACTGGAACAAATACATTGTAAACGTTTCAGATTTTCTAGCATGTCCTATCTTGAGATATGAGTATAAGAACAAAGTTTGCTTTTTCGCATAACAATATTTTCAATATTTGTATCTCAAGATGGAAGATATTAAAAAATCTCAAATTTTCACAATGAACTATTGCCCGTTTCAAAATAGAAGAAGGGTGAGTAATTTTTGAATAAGTCAAGAACGCAGATAGATAGAGAGTCCAGGCTTCACTATTGGAAAAAGGAGATCAAAATGCATCGAATCGTATAATGCATATTATTTTCGACAAGCTTTATATAGGTTTCTGAGGCTACTTTTTAAAGGCAAACGCATCGAGCCGAGTCAATAAAATGAATTTTGAACTTTTAGGAGTGTGTTAGAACTCTCAATTGAAGATCTACAAAACTATATAAAGCTTTAATACTGCGGATGTTATGGGTATTCAATCCGACAATTCGAGTCGATATTGCTAGCAATTTCTGTGAAAAAAATTCTGCTGTTCAGTTTTTTCATGCAGAAAAAATAGAGTTTTTCACGGCATTTATTTTTTTACAAAGTTAATCGAAAAGTTTGAAAGTCCGAGTCAAAAGGCGTTGTCTTATATGATTCGATGCGTTTTCATCTGCTCTTTCCAAAAGTGAAAACCACAGCTCTCTACCTTGCTTCTAGCAAAAGTTATTCAAAAAATACGCATCCCTCTTCTATTTTGAAACGGATAATAGTTTCATTGAGAACTTTATTTGTGCAAAGTTTGAAGTCAAAAGTAGATTTTGAAGGTGACTGAAGTGGAATAACGGCATTTTGTTGAAAAAAATCAGTAAAATGACTATAACTCAAGAAGGAAGACCCATGCGCATGAATTATTTTAGACTTTTTCTAGTCTCAATAGACCCTGCCCAATGAGATAAGACTCATCTGAAAAGCAATTTATCATCTGGAGATGAATTTTCGTTACGAGAGATTACATTGTTTTTCGCAACTTGATTTTATAAAAATTGTTTTACTCTTAGATTCAATTTTTATATTACGAAAAAAATTCAAAGGAAAAAACTAAATTATTACTTTTTTGCACCTTATATGCCCATAGGCAGCTGACAAAAAAAAGACTAAAAATTTTTAAAAAAACATTTAATGTATTTAAGCTTGCTGTACTTTTACATTTAAATAAACCTGTTATTGAAGTTGTCTCCGATAACTCAGTTATTACTTTGTCCTTCTAAAAACTTATTTTTTTTTATCTTAAATATGGTATGATCTTCTTTCGATGACCTGTTTTTTTCTATATATGGTACGACTATCTTCAAGAATGTATCATTGTTATATACATGGCGTGATCTCTTATGAGTACACACGTAAGTCTCTACAACATATATGTCCTCAAATTTTTTCTGTTCTTTCAATTTTTACCTTTACTTTCTTTCATTTCTCATTCTCTTGATTTTGTGCTTGTACATTCTGATGATTTTTCTTTTTTTAAATAAATTATAAAATTTCATGCTAACAAATTGAAGTATTCTATTTTCAATTTAATTACAAATAAAATATTAATTAAAATGTGAATTAAAGAGTGAGTCTATCTTTGTTTTATATTTATCAATCGATTAATCATTTCTATAAATAAGATACAAGTTTTCTTTTCTTTCTTTTTTTTTCTTAAATCTCAATAGTTTGCCTTTATTTATTTGTTTGACATTGAAATACACGTGTTCTACGTCATTCATAGGAAGAATAGCCTAAATATAGCAATATTAGCCAAATAGTGATTGTCATGACGGTGCGTCATTCGATCATTCGTACTTGTTACTAATAACAAATAAAAGTACACATTTATTTTTGTGTTCGTGTTGTATATGTTAAATAAATCATTCGTTTGTTATTCAATTATAGTGAAAATACGTATATTTCAGCTTTTTTTTCATTATTCATTGTAGAACAGCAAAATATAATTTTCTATCATATTTTCTTCTATCAACGAAATAAAAAATAATAATGAATGGAAATGGTTATTTACATCATCCATCATCTATTGGTATTCTTGCTTGTGAACTTTATATTCCATCACTCTATGTCGATCAATCATCCTTAGAAATATATGATAACGTTTCTAAAGGAAAATATACAATTGGTTTAGGACAACAACGGATGTCACTTTGTTCTGATCATGAAGATATATGTTCATTATGTTTAACTGTTTTATCACGTTTACTTGATCAAACTGGTTTACATCCAAAACAAATAGGTCGTTTAGATGTTGGAACAGAAACATTAGTTGATAAAGCAAAATCAATTAAAAGTGTTCTTATGCAATTATTTGTTGATTATGATAATACAGATGTTGAAGGTGTTGATAATATTAATGCATGTTATGGTGGAACAGCTGCATTATTTAATGCTATTCATTGGATTGAATCAAGTTTTTGGGATGGACGATATGTAAATCAAAAAAATTTTTCCATTTGATTAAGTTTTTATTTTTATTTTGCTTATTTCAGGCAGTTGTTGTTATGGGTGATATAGCTGTTTATGCAAAAGGAAATGCTCGTCCAACTGGTGGTGCTGGTGCTTGTGCACTTCTTATTGGGCCGAACGCTCCAATTGTTTTTGAACCTGGTATAAATATTTAGTTGAATATTTAATATTGAATTTTGTTAATCTAGGTTGTCGTTCATCACATATGACACATGTATATGATTTTTATAAACCTGATCTAAGTTCTCCATATCCCGTTGTTGATGGTCATTTAAGTGTTCAATGTTATACGTCAGCACTTGATACATGTTATACACACTATTGTAAAAAAGCACTAATGAATATAGAGTCTCAATCAAATCCATTATCAATACATGAAATAAATTTATCAACATTTGCTGCAATTCTTTTTCATACACCTTATGTTAAACTCACACAAAAATCTTTAGCAAGATTATATTTAAATGATATTATTCGTGCTTGTTCATATATACCAAATGTTTTAATAGAGAAATATAAGTAAGATTAAAATTTTGATTATTTATAAAAATAAATGACTTTTAAAATAGAAATCTCGATATTCGTTCATCATTAAATAATAAAGATCTTGAACGTGATCTTATTGAACATAGTCGTGAATTATATGAACAAAAAACATTACCTGGACTTTATTTTTCACAAAATATGGGAAATATGTATACACCATCAGTTTATTATAGTTTATTTTCATTTCTTAGCAGGTTTTAATTTTTTATTAAATTAAATTAAATTTCTTTTTTTTTGTTTTGAAAAAAACTTTTTTAGCCAATCAAATGAAGAACAATTATATGATCGACGTATTCTATTATTTTCATATGGTTCAGGATTAGCATCATCTATGTATAGTGTTGTTTGTCGTAAAGTTCATGAATCTCGTTTTACACTTGCACAAATACAAAAAAGTATTAAACGAGCACGTCATATACTTGATTATGAACGAATAGAATTAACACCAGATTTAATGGATAAATTATTATTAGAACGAGAGAAAAATGAACATAAAGGTAGAGAATAATTATCCTAGAATGAATGAGAATTTGATCCTTGCTTTTTTTTTTAAAGTACCTTTTATACCATTACAACCCATGGAAACATTAAAATCGGATGATATATATTTAAAATCTATTGATAAAAATCATCGACGTTATTATGAAAAATTTCTTAGAAATGATAATTCTATTGAAAAAAATAAAGAAGATATGAATAGATCTATCCAACAACTTTATGTAAGTTATAACTATCGATTTTTGTTTCAATTTTATTGTTTTTTTTAAATTTTAGACTGAATATTTTCAAAACCATAAAATGAATGGTTATACAAATTAAAAAATGATAATTTATGGTATTATGTTTCCATGGTGTTTTTTTCTTCTTACTAACAGAATTGTTTTTTTTCTTTTTCAATAATGTTTTTAAAATACTTAGTCGCATACATGACTATTTTTGTTTGCTATGAAAAATTGAAACGATTTTATTAATACTAAACTGCTTAGATCAATTTCAGCGAATTGGCAATACTGATAATGTGTATTCAATTCTTAATCAAGCTTTTCAAGATAACATATGTCTTATTTGTTTTTTAAGAATCTCTTTTCCATATCACACGTTCGTTTGCACTACTTCTGGTATATTACTGTAGCGCTTTTACAACGTTTGGTTCCAGCTATAGATGATTATAGGAAGTGTCTTCTACCCAAATTTGGATTATTTATTAGAAAGAATTTATGTTAATCGCTAAGAAAACAGTTTTAAAATATATTTTACTAATGAAAATTTTTGCAGCGTCATCTATAATAAAAATTTATCTCATAACTAGAGCGGATTTGGGCTCTATGGACTTAGACGACTTAATAATAATGGATACAGCACTTTCAAAAAAATTCATTGGTTTAGCGCACATTTATACCGATCGATAGTTATCATATGAGCCCCTTCTCTTTTCGAGGTTTCTGAAGAACATCTTATCAGAAGAATTAGAAATTTTCAGAACAGATGGGTCTTGACGAGTAGAGCAAAAGTTCTCGAGTGCTATTTTCTATGAGATACTAGGATCCCAATGGCGAAACATAGCCCCAATTTCCACAAGGTGCTATGTTTGATTGATCTGAAAATTTTTTTACCGGCACTAGACACTGTCTGTGGTAGATATAGAGCTTTTTCTATTATGGAAAAAAAGTTTCAGCTTGATCGAACATACTAAGCCGAAGAAATGGAAGTGTTTCTGCACTTTTTTCAATATACAGTTTTCGCTTTTTTCATCATGTAAATTTGATGTTTCAACGTTTAACGACAATTTTTCGACCTCAAAATGTACTCAGTAGATAGATACTACTTCAGACTGTATAATGACCATAAAAAAATCAAAATTTTGGATTACAGGATACCCTTAAGGCATTAAGAAGAAACTAGAAGAAGTAAATCTGTAAAACTAATGAAAATTGATTAATAGACATACGAAATATGAAATTGTTACTTTCAAAATAAACATGTAAACTTATGATTTTCACTTTAAAAAAGTTATTTTTTAGTAATTCGGTGCATTTAAATAAAATTATTGCAAAGAAGAACATTATTAGGAGAGAAAATAAATGAATAGATTACATTTAAAGAACGAAAGATATAATTTCATTTTTTTTTATCAACATGAAAAAATCATAGAAAACTTTTCGTCTGCATATGTACTTAATACTGCCCTCTAATAAACGTCTTTGAAAAAAAACATTTAGAATGATTAAGCATCATCTTGAATTAGTATGTTTAAAAAAATCTAGTCAAACAGAATAACCTACCCTTCTCCTTTTCATTGCAACTTTATTTTTTGATGAAACAGGAGAAGCAATTAAACTTTCGACGAAATGAGACCTAATCCAAACATTCCTTGACAAAAATTAAATAATAATTTTCGAAATACTGTCAATAGAGAATTTTAAAAATCTTTCAAGTCACCATGATGATCAATAATTATGAGAATAAATTATTGTCTTTTTTTTTTGAATAATCATGTAATCTTTTTTGTAACATATAGAAAAAATATAGCCACTAAATTTCTCTAGTTATATAGTTTGAACTTAACATGGGCATATTGTTATTTCTATCCTCTTCGTTTCTTTTATGCTTTGCTTGTATACATGCGAAAACGAACAATTTTCATTCTCCTAAAGAACATACAATAGCAATAGAACGTTCATATAATTTTAGTGCTCTGTTCCTGTTTTGTTTGAAATTCTATCAAAACGTTATGGATTCATTTAATCTCTACTTTCATAAGTTTTCTTCAAATGATTAGAAAATTATGATAATATCACTTCAATGTCTTACATATGGTGAAGTTTTCCTTAAAAAGTATTTTAGAATTCATTGCAAACGTATTATGTCTGCTCTTTTTTTCATAAAATTTCTGTATTCTAATAATGACACAGATTTATTCGTCTTCATTGGACAGTATGATGGAATCACTTATCAACAGTTCAATTATTACTTAAATAAACTTCTTATATCATTACAATCAGTCTAAATAAAATATTCATTATTATCGGGTTTACTAGATTCTATAAAATTTTTGGTCATAATCATTATAATGCTGTTCAATAAGTAAATTTTAAAAAAAATATTCTCTTGATTAATTTTCTTTAGACTGAAAGGATAGGATCTAGAAACGGAAAATCATCTGTGTCTGTCTGTAACATAGTTACCATCAAGTGCCTGTGGTCCAAATGACCATAGCTATCAGCTTTGATACGAATGACTATGTAGAGTGACAATGGGTACTTGAACATTAGTATTCAAATTGACCGAAGATTCACCGCGATTCTAACTATCGGACCTGTAAACATTCAAACTGGATGCAAATCCATATAATATTAAAATCTCCTTAAAAAAGAAGCTGCCGCTAAAAACTGGGGTCGTTCTGACTTTCACGTTTTTTATTTAAAATATTGAACACTCGAGCATAAAATCTCTAAAACATTGTATTGCTATTTGTGACCGTGTAATCAAATTTTAAGAACAGTGTAAAAGAATAAATGCAAATATAGTTACCACAGTGCAACGATCAAAAATTTTGATAAAAATTTCTATAGAAAAAAACAATAACATTGTACATATAAACTGAACTTCACGTTTTGTGAAACGAGTCGCTGTGATTAGTTAAATCATATCTTACATTTATCTAGTACTTTACTGGAAATAGATTTATATTTCGATGCGCCTATTTGTATATCATTATCCCGCCAATCTAAGATCGAGTCTCGATGAACATTACTTGTTATTAAATGAATAAAAATCTAATGCATATTTAATTAAAACTTCTTTTTTGTGTTGCTCGAGTTTATCTCTTGTCGTTTTATTAAGAAAAAAAAATTGTTTAACAAGAAAATAATCTGACTGCAATTAATATACATATATATTCATATAATTAAATATTTTCTTTTAAAAACTGTTCAAATAAATTTTCTATATCTTCATTATTATTGAATAAAATTAATTTATGCTTTATTAATTCTAAAAATATTTGTCGTTTATTATTAATCATTTCAGCATATAGTTTTTTTTCATTTATTATTTGAAATTTTTCATTATTTAAGAATTCTTCTTTTAAATATTTTGAAATAAATTTTCTTAATTTTTGATCAATTTGATAAATTATATTTTGTTGATTAATTTCTGTTGCTAAACGACGTTGTTCATTATTATCAATTAAATTTAATTGTTGTTCTGGTTTGTTACAAGCTTGTTTAATACGTTGAAGAATTTGATGTAAATGTTCACATGTTAAACCTTGATTTGTTGTATTAATTATTAAATCATCATTTGATAAATCATATTTTGAATAAATATTTTCTATTGAAATATTTGAAACACGTTTAGATATATGACGTTTTTGATTTCGTTCAAGTGCAATAATTATATTTGAATAAAGATGTATTATTGCAAAACCAATTTCTGCTCTTTGAGCTATTTGATGATAACGATGACGCATACTTGAATAATAAAAATTATCTTCAATAATTAGAATACTATTATGATGTAAATTTTTTAATGATTCATAAAGACGATTAAGTATTTGTGATGAATATTTTAAATTAATTAATGAATTTTTTTCTATACGTGATAAAATATAATTTTCAATTTCATTAGCAATTAATAAACGATATAATTTCCAATTCGATTCATTTTCTATAATATCATTTTCATAATTAAAAAATAAATCATCAAATGAAAGGAAATTATATATATTTTCTTGTTTTTTTCTATTGAAAATTTCATAAAATTTTTTTATACAAAAAAATTCTAGATTTAAAATTTGATAATGATTAAATAGTAATTGAAGTATTTGTATAAGTGTTGATTTAAGACATGCTGGTGGACCACATATCAAAATGATACATTTTATCATTGATATCTACAATAATAAATATTTCTTTTTTTTTTTTTTTTTTATTGACATAACATATATGTGTGGATGTTTTATTTTTCTTTAGTTCTTTCTTTAACGAAGAACGAATAGAGAAAAAAAAAAAGAATCGTTGCTTAGAAGACAAAATCAACTAAATAGAGAACAAGGAGAGGGAAAGGATCATAGAATTTTGTTATTTTATATTTTGACATTATTTTCAATTTTAAAATGGACGATACAAATGATTATGATAAATCAACATTTGATACTCCTGATAATGCAACATTATATGTTGAATGTATTCGATTAATTGAAGGTGATCATATTCGACGATTTGAAAATTTAGCAAATAAATTTGATCTTGTTCAATATGAATTAAATGATGGTGTTAGTAAACCACTTTTATTTTATGCTATTGAACATAATAATGAAACATTTGTTAAAATTTTATTAGACATGGAAGTACCATTAGATAAAAAATATTCTGTAAGTTGATATTATCAAGAATTTTTCCAATTAAGAAATGAAGAAGTAAACGAATGTTTTTTTTTGCTGTCTATTTATTATTAGTACAAAATGTTTACTTAGTAAACAATTATTAAAAAATCAAAAAAAGAAAAATAACAGTTGCCAAGGATAAATAGGAAAATCGAGCTCTAGAAATGATGTAGATTTGTTCATATTTAGTTAAAATATAATGAGATATTTAATTAATAAGAAGCAAAAAATAAAGGATCATAGTTCATCTATGATGTTTGTTTAAACATTGAAGATCTATATATGTTTACTTCAAAAATGCCTAAAAACTTAATACATTTAGCGTTTGTAACAAAAATAATAGTAATGAAAATACTTCTTTTCAAGGCTATTGTCGATTTCTAAACAAGAAAAAAAAAAAAACTAAATTTGTTTTTTCTTATCAGATTATGGTACCAACAACTGACTCTTCTGAAGGTCAACTTGTTCAAAAAACTTTAAATGCTTATGAATATGCATGTGAATTACAATACAATAATATTGTTAATTTGATTCAATATCAGACAAAACTTCCTCCATATGAACAACGGTTTTTTCGTATACTCAAATATAATGATATTCGTCGTTGTGAAACATTTATTCATCGTTTACATAATGAAAAACGAGAAAATATTATAGCTAAAAAAGGTTTATTTTATGCTGCACAATTTGGTTCAGTACGTTTATTAGACTATTTTTTAACACGTTGGAAAATTGATATCAATACACAACAAATACAAGATAATGGATATTCAACAACAGCTTTATTAACATCTATAACATATAATCAAAATGAGGCAGCAAAATTTTTATTATTTCGTCATGCTGATCCAAGTATAAAAGGTCAATATGATAATGCATTAGTTACAGCACTTCATTATCATTCAAAAAATGATCTTTTACATTTATTACTTGATAAAAATGTTGATTTAACAGCTCGACATCCTGATTATAAAAAATTAAATTTAAGAGAATATTGTGTATTAACAAATCGTGTTAAAGCTAAATCAGAAATTGATGCTTATATAATACGTTTAATTAGTCAAGGAAATTATCAACGATTAAAATGGCTTGTTGATCATGGTTATACATATATTAATGTTAATATTACTTCTAAACGTAATGGAAAACAATTAGCTAAAGAAAGATATTATGAAAAAATTGTTAAATTAATTGAAGATGTAGAAAATATACAAATGAAAGCAAAAATTAAAATGAATTATTAAGAGATTATTATTTTTTTTTTCTTTGAATAAATAACGAATATTTATCAAATTTTATGCGTTGCTAAGGTCAAATGTTCTTTTTTCTTTCATTATAATGTAAAAAATTAATATGATTTATTATTTCTGATTTAAGACGAGTGGCTGTTAAACTCTCGGAAGTCTTCAAAATTAACACTCTCACTAAATTAACTAACGATTGGATGAATCTTTCGAAGTGATGCACAAAAGAGAGAAGAAAAAAACAATTGTTCTTTAACAATGACTTGAAAAAAATATCTTAAAAAGATTTATTTTTTCTATATTGTTAATTTATTTTTCCTCAACCAATTTACGAACAATAAAGAATGCAGTAATCGATAGTATAACTATTTCTGATGGTTTATACTTTCGAGATTTCGATTTTTTTCTATCTTGATTTTTATAAAAAAAAAATTACCACTAATGAGGAAACTTCCTGAGATGTCTCCTTTCTATTTCAACAATTTTTTTGTTTATAGATGCTACTAATATTCTAATGCAAACCCTAATTGAATTAGAGTTCCTATTGAGATTTAATAGAGCTATTAAGTTTTTAATATAACTATTTGTCAGAGGACTTCATGTTTTCGAAACAATCGTGTTCTCTATTTGAATGTCTCAGATACAGTAGTTTGTAGAAAGAGCTTCAGAAATTGTAGACTTGAAATAGCTGAGTTATGAGCTTTTCAAAATAGAGTGAATAATACAAGAATATTTGACAAAGTTCATACCTCGGAGATACAAAGTCTACAAACTCTGAAGCTCTTCCTACAAGTTACTGTATATGAAACATTCGACTGGAAATAGTGTCAAGAAAAAATTTCATGAACACGAGTTTTTCGAAAACTTCGAATCTTACAAAGGTCTCTAACAAATAGGAAGAAGAAGAATACATCTGCCTTTCGACTACCTAGCAACAGACTCAATAGCCCGATATCTTTCCTACAGTTAATACTAAAGGATGTTCCAAGAGTCTTGGTCGTTCTTAGAAAAATTGTTTGTTTTTCCTTATTACGAATTCAAACACGCTCAAAGTTGGAAGTCTAATCTCTTATAACTAGAAGAATATTAATTTAAAATTTCAGATCTCTAGTCATTATTATAGGGAGATATATAGATTCATATGATAGAGAAGATTTTTTTGATCCATGTGCTAAAATCCGATTAACGGGATTTACATAAAGAGAATAAAAGAAAAAGTAAAAAGAAAGACATTTGAATGAGAAAATATTAAGAGAATTATAACGAATCGAATTATACCTTCAGATTAATTAGATGTTTATAGTACGTTTATTTAAATATCTTTAACTATGATTGGATGTGTAAAAACATATGATCATTTTCGACAAATCCTTTTCTTCAAGTTCTCATTTTGCAATTGTTTTTTTTTTCGACATTTAATCTTTGATGTTTTTTTTTAATTCTATCGCGTTTACTAAATATTAATGTCCTGAAAATGTAAAAACCAATCGATATTGAAAAATAAAGTTATAGAGACTGAAGAGCAATCAGTACACAAATATGCTCAAAATTCATGAATTCAATACCAAGAAGATTACAATGTTTAATCAACAAAGAAGATTATTCAGTCAACAAAAAAAAAGGCTGTAATGATGCATAAAAATGTAAAATATTCTGTTGTTTGTTATTGTATTCATAGTGAAAACTAATAATTCTAGATATTTCTTTTGAAAAAAACTTTTTTGACTTTTTTTGGGACCTGGAAAAAGTCTTCTCTATCATACGAGGGTGTGGATATATCTCCCCTATAATAAGGACTAGAGATCTAAAAATTTAAGGTTATATTCTTCTAGTTACAAGGGATTAGACTTCCAACTTTTAGCATTTTTGAATTCGTCATAATGAAGAACGAACAACTTTCTAAGAACAACCAAGACTTTTGAATCACCCTTTAGCTGTAGGTCTGAACACAGAAGGTCAGCCTAACGCAGAGTTCTTGTGCTCAATTGCTTGAGCTGCTCACTCTAGAAGCTCATTAGATATTCTATTATTAAAGATATCTTCTCAAGCGATTGCGTGATCTCTAATGAATAGATATTATCTAACCTTGGAATAATACTTTAGAGATTTATACAATATAATCTTAATAAAATGTGTCATTTCATGAGCATGTTAACAATATTTCACAGAAAACTACTATCATTATTAAATTCTATATCATCTTTGCAGAAAAAATAAATAAATTGCTATATATATATATAAGATTATTTCTACAACAAGAAAAAAATATTTCAATTACATAATTAAATTTATTTACTCTCTCACAATAGTTCGTAATTATTGAAAAAGATTCTAGTGTTTACTTTTATATGTTACAAAAGGAATAAAACATATAGACAATATATCTTAGTTAATATATATATATTTCAAAATAATTCATGAGAAAGAAAAAGAACAAAAACATTATTTATCTTTTTTCATTCGTTTTGATGATAATTCATTATCATTATAATCATGTTTTTTTCTTGGTGGTGTAATTGATCGTTTTCGTTCATATTTATAATCATCTTGTTTTTTATACATCATAGATTTTATTCGTTGTTGTTTTTCTTGTTCATTTTTATTAATATTATGTACAGCATTTGAAATAAGTGTATTACGTAAAAATTTTCTATTTGTAACTAATGTTGGTTTTTGCCATCCTAATGCACCTTGTGTTTGTGCACGTATTTTATTTCTTTTAGCTTCTTCGAGAAGCATTTGACGTGCCAAACGATCCATTTCATCATCATTATTTATTGAAGATAATTTTTCTTCATTTTTATTTGTTGACATCTAAAAGAATAAATCAAAAAAAAAAACAAAATGACATATCAATTAATTTTTTAAGTGATATTTTGATACTAAAAGTTAATGATTAATGATTTTCAAAGGTAAAATAAATATAAATAAAGAAGATCAATTTTCAAATAGTTATTATATTTCACTTAAAGATTTTGAGATTTAATTTTTGTACTTCTTTTTTTTATTTTTATTTATATATACAAAAAAGAAAAGAACAACGAACAAAATTGAATTAAATAAATAACTACTGCTGCTGCTTTTCGCCTCGTACAAGATTTTTTAAATAACCAAATGGACCAGTAGTTCCTGTTCCTGTTTGTTCAGTTGATTCAATTTCATTCGTATTATTTGTTGTTTCAGGTGTTGTACGTTTAAGTAATGATATTGGATTATTACTACGTAATGAAAATGATGATTTTTTTTTAACACGTTGTGAATTTGTTGGTGATATTGGATTTATTTGTATATCTTGATCATGACTATTAATTGTTGTCGCTGATGCTGAATTAGTTCGATTTCGTTTTGTTGAATCCGATTCAATTGAAGTTTTACGTGGTGTTGGTGATGTATCAATTTTTTTATATGTTGTATTTGTTGATTGTTCATTTGATAATGAATCTTCTTTTGATGATTTTTTATTTGATACCCATGAACGAAATGAACTCACAGGATTTTTTAATGAAAAACCACTTGCTGTTGTTGTTGTTGTTGACTGTGGATTATTATTATTATTATTAGACGAATTTTTATTATTTATAGATGATTTTTGAGTAGTTGTTATTGATTGTTCATCAGAATTTTTAATAAATTTTAGTTCAATATGTTCAAGATCGTTATTATTATCACCGGGGTTAGGTTTGACAGTTGTTGAGGATAAATCAGGTTTGGTTTCGACTATTGAAGTAGGCGATGAAGAAGATTGAGATGTTACTGTTGTTGATTCAAGACTAAATATATAATAGTTTGAGAATAATTTTTATTATTAAAAATGTCAAAGACAAAATTGCTTCTAATTTTTTTTTTTAATTAAAGAATATCTATTATTTAAAATTGGATTTATTATATTTCAAAAATAAAAATTATTTGAAAAATTCTATGAAAAAACAACTAAGTATTTTTTTCATCTAATCAAATAAATTCTAACAATTGTTTTATATTTAAAATTGTTTTTCATTTTTTTTCTTTAGAATTTTATGTTCTTTTTTTCTTTCTTATATGACATACTCATCAAGTCCATTAATAATTTTTTCATCTTCTTTTTGTATAACAAGAATAGGTGTATGTGTAATTGATTCTCTGTCATTTGTTAATTCTATTTGTTCTTCTTCACTATCAACATTATGTATAATTGAATCATTATCTATTGTTGTTTGATTTTTATTTATTAAACGTTGTTGTCGTTCAGTATCTGTCCATGGTGGCATACGTTCATTTATTTGATCAAATGTTTTAGCTTGTGAAAATGAAAAATCTGTTGGTACTTTTCTATGTTCTGTTAAATCCTTTTCATCATCAACAAGTTCATTAAGACTTGATGTTGATGATGATGGTGATACAGGTGTTAAACCTTTTAAATTAATAACATTTTCACTAGCTTCACGTAATGATGCATAAACTTTAGCCATTTTTCCAACAGCACGTATTTTTGAACGTATAGCTTCACGACGAAATGCATTATCATTATCATTTTGTTGTTCATCTGATAAATTTTGTATAAGTTCTTCTTCACTACATATATTTAACATATTAATTAACATTTCTGTTACTTTTTCACCAACAAATGGTAATGACCATGTAAATACATTCATAAAATTTGGTAACCAATATGGATGTGGTGATGAATTAAATTGTCTTATATTAACAATATTTGTATCATATTTAAGTATAGCTGCTTTATTTTGATAAACATCAAGATAATTTGGTGCAGAAAATATTGTCATTAATGATGGAAAACCACTTTGTGGACATTTACGATACATACGATATCCAACATCTTGTGCTTCATGTGCACGTATAACAGTTAATAATGAATTACGTGCAAGAAAATCATTAACTGCTTTAAATGTATAAAAATATGAACAACCACGTGTTGCATTAAATAAATATTTTTCATCATAAGATTTTTCATGACCATAATCTTCAATTGGATCACTCCATAATAAATCACACATTGCACC